ATAAATGAGAATTAGTGCAGGCAATTCTTGGTACGACTGTTAAAAGCTGCAAAGTTGTTAAACAGTGGTTCTTACATTTTTTAGTATATATTTAACATCTTCGTGTTCAGAGACCTTCAGGGCATGGATGCTGCCAGTATCTGAGCTCCTCATCTTCTCCAATCTTGTATGCCTGCTCTGAGAAAGGGACAATATTTTTCATTTACATGCCAGTGTAGGTCTCCATTTCCTCACCTATTTGGGAATTGCATCTCCTTCCTAATTGGTGGAATGAAAGTTTTAGTCCCCCAGTGAGATACCAAAAGAGCCAGGGAGGCACAGTATGGTGTCCAGTCAGGAGAACTTGTGTCCCTGAAATCAGAGCAGAAAGACTTCTCCACCTTTTCCCTGTTCTGGCTCCAGTCAGGAGCACTGGGCCAGTTTGCTTCCCTTTTCTTCCCTGTGTTCCCAGAGCACAGGCTTCATCCCTTACCCAGCAACTCAAGTATGTGCTCAATTCCCAATCACAAGCAAGTGAGGGCATAGGTAGCCAGTCTATCCTGTCACCCTCCCATTTCCAGGAGCTCTCAAAGGACTAACTTCTGTGTTTGGCCAAGGTCTAACAAGGATTCTTTCATCTTTTTCTTTTAATTTGTTTTAATTAACTTTATTGAGGCATAATTTACATATTATAAAATACAAATTTTAAGTGTAGAGTTCAAAGAATTTTGTAACACCCCAATCAAGATACAGAACATTTCCATCGCCCCAGGAATTTCCACTGTACTTCAAGGCATTCAATTCTCCCTTCCTCTACCCGCAGATACCATGGCTCTATTTCCCAACATTGTAGGTGAGTTCTGTGTTCTGGAACCTTGTATGAGAGGGATCATACAGTATGTTCTCTTTGAGGTCCTGCTTCTTTTGTTCAACGTAATGAATTTTTGAATTCATCCATGTTGGGACTTATATCTTGTTCTGACTGATTAGTATTCCATGTATGGATATACCACAATTTGTTCACCTGGTGATGGCCATTTGTGTGGTTGACTTTTTAATTTTAAAAGTAATTAAATTAATAATTATGCAATTAATTCTTTACACCCTCCCTCATTTTTTTTGTGGTGCGGGGAATGGAACCTAGAGCCTCACACATGAAAGGCAAACAATCCTCCACTGAGCCACATCTGCAGCCCCAATCTTGTCCTTCTTAATTACCAAGAGCTAATTTAGTCCTGGGACACTGTGCGACCACCGTTATCACTCACACTGGCAGGAAAAATAAGGTCAATAGATAGAAATGTTTAATGTTTGTTTCCTGTACACTTTCTTCAGCTCAACTTCCTCTTCCCAGCTGCTCTGGAATTAGATGGTCAGGCTGATGACAGAACTAAAGGTCAAACAGTGAGGGAGGGGTGGCAGGGATGCAGGAAAAGCCAGGGGGGCTTGGTGTGCCTGCTTGCTGTGAGTTGTTTTTTTCAGACCCTTAGGCTGGTATGAGTGATTTATCTATGACACATTAGCATGGTTGTCCCGGGTTTAAACTGAAATAAGATTTCTCAAGGGCTTTTTCTTGGTGACCACTGACTGAACTAAATTGGAGCCCACCAGTTGATAGAAAATCAAGCTCTGTAGTGTTCTAAGAGTGGGGTCACAGTTCCTTGGGGTCTCCTGGTCCCCATTCATCCTGTGTGATAAAGCAGCATGAGCCATAGAACATCAGAACCTGGTATAACTACACTGGGGCCTCTCCAAACACACACTGAAATATTTCAATCCTATTTAATGCACTCTGCTAGTAAAATAAAGGCAAACCCTGCTGCTGTTGGGCAAACTGTTCCCCAAATGCAAATGAACCACTTTGCCTGAGAAAGAAACAGCCAGATCCATGTTCTCAGAGATAAAAGTATCTGAGTGGAACTTAGGAAGAAATTGTACTGTATTTCCTAAATTACATATTTTGTGCTTGATGGAAGATTTAAAGGATTTTAAAAGGCAGCACTGACAATTCAGGTACTTCACCTTACATGCTAACTTAATGTAAGATGCTATTTTACACAGAGCCCCCCCCCCCTTATTTTTTTTACAAATGTGCTTACATCCTTTGATCCTCATAACCACCTCTGGGTACACCGGGCAACTCTTGGTTTTCCCTGTAATGGGGCCACTGAAACCCAGAGCTAATGAGAGGGCCAGAAAAAGATGAGCCCGTCAGCTGGCAGAGTTGCTGCAAATGCCAGGGGACGTTATCTTTATTCAAAGTGCTAACATTCTGCTGATCACAGAATGTTTGCATCAGCCTTGACTTTTAAAAATATTGTTTATTGCTGGGGATTTAGCTCAGTGGTTCTGCCGCCTGTCTCACAAGCACAAGGTTCCGAGTTCAAAGCCTGGTACCCCTCCCCCCCAAAATTGCTTATCTTGATGGCTAAGTGTTCTTCACTGAAGGCTAGTGACACCCTTGTCTCAGTCCCAAGCACTGTTTGATTCATATATTCATTCATTTATCATACAGGTAAAAGGGATAAATATCAGTAATTTCATATGGTTAAAACTAATGGACCCTCCAAGGATGGTTTCCCAACTGCCTAGGAGTGCTTCATCATTCTGCTCAGTGGTCCTCAGACTGGCTGCACAGTACAGCCACCCAGAGGACTTATTAGGACCAGAGCTCTGCCTCAAAAGCGAAAGGTCCCGGAAGAAAAAAAAAAAAAGACCAGGGTCAGGGTGGGATGTGTGCTTTCATAAAGCTCCTCTGGTGCAAAGCTCAGGATTAGAGGCCCTGGCTTAAACCAGAATTAAAACAGGTTATAAACGCAAGAGGTCCTGGATTTAATTTCTAATGCCAGCCCTTTCTGCCTATAGAATGGATGCAGGCTACAAGTTGTGTGAGTGTTGAGTAATATATGTAAATGTCTAGCTCATTGCCTGGCATAACAATAAATCCTGGATAATAATGCTCTAGGACAGTGGTAGTGAGCCAATGGTATGCATGCCACAGCAAGCTGTTTGCATCATGGAAAGCTCTAAGAGGTTCGCCATCCCTGCTTTAGAAGTTAGGACTTTGTGCTACCATTCAGAGAAGTTAACTAAGTCAACCAAGGTCTCACAGCAAGTTCAGGAAAGCCTTGAATTTGAGAGCCAGCAGCCAGAGCTGAAATGGCTGCACTTGACATCCACCAGATGCACCCTGATTAGGGCACTCACTAATTAGCTCACAGCATTTTTTTTTCAGTACTGGTAATTGAACCCAGGACCTTTACAGTGAGCTACATACTAACCTATTTTTTAATTGTTTATTTTGAGATAGTGTCTGGCTAAATTGAATTGACCAGGCTGGGCTGCAACTTGCGATACTCCTGCCTTGGTGCTGGGATTACAGGTATGGGCTACCATATCAGGACCACAGTGTTTTTTAATTGCCCCCTTCCTACCTGAGGACTAGCAATGAGCTGAAAGGCACAGGCAGAGGGGAGTCCCCAGAGCAAAAATGAGCAGGCCCTTGGCTGGGGGAGCTCCCTGAGGCCTCCATCATCCCCCATTGTGTGTCCGACCCTCTAACTAGAGCTGCCAGCTGCCTTCACTTCCTCCCTCCGAGTCTCTCCTTTAACCTCTTCTGTCCCATCTTCTGCTCATACCCTCGGTTGAAGCCAGCAACTTCCCTAATGTTGAAATTGTGGGCTCTACTGAGGACCTCTGCCTTTCAGGAACAGCCTGTGGCACACTTTGCAGAATTTCATTCTGTTTTCGCTTTCTGCTGTCCCACAAACCAAAGAAAGTGACTTACCCTGGCCCAACCCCATGGCCTGCCATCTCCTCCTCACCCCTTCTGTCCTAAATAGACCCAAAGTCTCAAGGTTTCCTTCCTAGCTGTTCCACCCCTGTGAGGCCCTCCTTCTCCTTCCTACCCTCTGGCTCACTCCCCGTCATCCCTCTAAACCCATCTCCTTGCTTCAGGTAGTGAGGTTTTCTGTAATACACTCACCTGACCTCCCCACATTCAGGCCACTTCTGCCCTCTCAGGGTGTGCCTGTCACTGCTACACTTCACAGCCACTTCCTGGGATTCCTCTGTATCTACAATCATGTTTGCCACAGGACTAGGAGCATCCTCCAGGCATCTCCCTGGTACCCAGCAGGTTCGTGATGTCTCTAGAGGCTGTAGTGTTGATTGTGTACCAGATAGCACTCAACCAGCTTACATGATTTAATTCATTTAATACAGTTATTCAGCATCTTCCTTATTTTACCAATGAGGAGCATGAGATGCTCAAAACTCAAATGGCTGGCCTACATCGCACAGTTCTTACAAGGAAGAGGTGGAATCTGAACCAGGCATCCTAACTCTTAGCATCTGTGTCGTAACCATCAGGCAGTAGAGCATCCCTGGTACACATGCCTGACATGAGACAGAGGGGCAAGAGCATCCTCCTCAAGGAATATGTTCTCACCCATGCTGGAGCAAGCACACAAGTGCACACACACACACACATACAGAACATGGGCAAACTATAGGGGGAACCAGAGGTGCTAAAATGGGTGGTATGAACCAGTGCTTCTCAGACTTTAACATGCATATGAATCACTTGGGGATCTGCAAAACTGTACTGGGGTTTGGTCTGTACAAGGTGAGACCTGAGACTGTGTCTCACACATCACCAAATGATGCTGATCCTTTGGTCCAGGAACCACACTCTGAGTAGCAAGGATGAACCCCAAGGATTGAAGGAGGTCAGAGGAAGGAGACTTCAGTGTAGGCTGAGGTCTTGAGATGGCCGGTGGGGTCTGGGACAAAAGCAAAGCTTGGTTAGAAAGAAGGGAACAAAAGACTCATCCTCCCCAGGGGGTCCCAGGGGTGCCACAAAATGACCTCATCCCCCACCCACACACACTCACCAAGAAGCTGCACTAAGCAGCAGCTCCACTTGTGAATGACCTGATTTTGGAGACTGTCCAATCCTGATCATTTCAGGAAACATTTTGCAAATTCAGAAATCAGAGCCAAAGGGAGGTCCTTTTGGTCCACTACTAACCACAGCAGCAAAGGGTGGTTCCTCTTTGGGAACAATTTTGCTGGCTCCAGGGCTTCAGCCACCTATAAAGCTTAGGAATGGAAAGTAATGAACCCCTCAAGGAGGAGGGGTTGTTGGGGAGCGCTGAAGAAGGAGCAGCTTTTGACCAAACTGTGTTCGCAGCGATGGAGACCTTCAAAATTGATGGTAAATATTACTCTTCAGTAATGGAATTGCCTGGTAATTCAGTCTTTCTACTGGTAAGATATAAGAAAGGACAAGTCAAGGTTTTACCACTACTGTATTTTGTACCTGTTTCTCACTAATACGTGTCTGGAATGCATCAAATTGGAATTCCTGAAATGTTAATAGTGATGTATCTTTAGCGTATAGCTTAAAAAATTTTTGCCATTCCTTTACATTCTACTTAAAGGATAAATTGGATAAATGCTAATGCTTATTATATGTCTCCCAGCCAATGAGTGTCTTATGCTGCCACGAAAGTTACATCATACAGTGACCGTGCAAAACTGAGAGGTTGAAAGAATTCTGCATCACTGAAGCCAAGTGCCACGTATTTTTTGATACATTTGCTATAAAATTCATTCAAGTGGCTTCTGTTATAGCTGATGTGTTAACCTGGGAACATGTTCTCTGGTTCAGGTTGGCTAGGATATGTTTTTAGCTTCAGAATTAGTTTTTCTTAGATTGAGCACAGGTTTTAAAAATTTAGTCAATCTGTTGTCTTATTTTCTTGCTCAGTGTTATATAGGTGATATATTTTTTAAAATCTTGTAGAATTTGTCACAGTTAAAGCCAGGAGTGGGCTTGGTTCCCAAGTGATCTCTGATTTTCTATTCTAGAATATTCTCTTAGAATCCTCTTCCAAGGTGATATTTCTACTCTCAGGCCTTCTGGAAGTTGTATATGTGGGAAAAATGATATCCCTGTCCCCTGACTTGGACATCTCTTTCATGAAATATCTGTCAGCAAAAGTCCCTGAAGTATTTTACAATGTGGTATGAAGGACTGTGACCATTACTGGCTATTCAGAACTTTTCACACTGCAGCATTCTAGATATATACAGTATGTGACTTTTTAAGATACAGAAAATGGTCTAGAAAATTCAATTAATGTATTCAAGATGTACCAACTTCTGGATGCCACACTCAGCACCAAAGAAAGAGACAGGATAAGCACAGCTACTGGTCTGAGGAGCCCACACTGAGAAGCCCACACAGGTGGTGGCATGAGGTTGTCTATAAGCTGACCTTTTCTAAACAGTTTGTCACCAGCTGTGACTGAGATTTTCACAGAACACCATGGCTGGACCAGGTGTTTGATCTGGAGGTCAGAGCTAACACCTCTTCTAAATGTTAAAGGATAAAAGGGGATTAAGTTATAGGAAGGAGAGAGTGCCTGGGACCAGGTGAGTGCCACACTGCTATACGACATTCACAAGGAAGATTCCAAGAAGTATGAACAGCTCCATCATATTGGGCTAAAATTGGGAGGGAAAGCTCCCTGTTACCAAGGGATGGGAACCTAATCCTGCAGACAATAGGGAGGCTGGACAAGGGTAATGTGGGGCTGGGAAGCCCTATGCAGTCTCTGAGGTTACTCACTGTGGTAGAAGGGAGACAAGTCGGAGTGAGCAAGTGGGGACAGAGAGGGCCATGGCAGCAAGAGTAACCCTAAACCTCACTCTTCAAACCTGTCTACACCTCTCACTCCAACTTCGCAACTCTTTCAGGCTTCACGTCTTTTTTCAGGGTATTTTTTTACCATCATTTTCAGTATGAAGAACATTGTTCTTGACAGAGAAAACTCAAATTACGAATACAGAAATATAAGCTTTCATTGCTTGTTATAATTAACAATAACCACTTGCACCCAGCAGTGAGTCTAGCTTCCTTTCTTCCTAAAGGTACTTTAAAACACACTTCAGCCATCAAGTCCACCCACATCCAGTTCTGCTGATGTGGTT